TTCAGCCATGGAATTGCCTGCAATGACTATATCATCCATATATACTAGGATTGCAGTAAAAACATCATCATGAGATTTCACATATAAAGAGTGGTCAGCCTGTGACTGAGAATAGCCAAGAGATATTAAGAAGGAGGAGAGTTTAGAATACCATTGCCTACTTGCCTGTTTGAGACCATACAAAGATTTTTGTAGCTTGCAAACTTGAGAAGGAGAAGCAGTAGAAATGCCAGGGGGAGAGACATATAGACTTCTTCATGAAAATCTCCATGAAGAAAAACATTATTGACATCCATTTGTTCAAGATACCAACCTTTTATAGAAGCAATAAACAAAAGAACTATGACTGTTGTTATTTTGACTATAGGAGAAAATGTGTCAAAATAATCAATTCTCTTCATTTGTGTGTAGCCGTTTGCTACTAACCTAGCCTTATATCTTTCTATGGAGCCATATGATTTGTATTTGATTTTATATACCCACCTGCATCCAATAGGAAACTTTCCTGGTGGGAGATCAGCAACACTCCAAGTTTGATTTTCTTCAAGAGTAAGAAGTTCAGCATCCATGGCATTTTTCCAACAGACCATTTTAATGGCTTGGTTGAATGCTTTTTGTCCAGTATTGGAAGACACAGAATAACATAAGTGTTTATAAGATGGTGAGAAATTAGCATAAGAGAGTACAGAAGATAAGGGATACATAATTTTGGAATTGCTATCAGACACAGAAGAATAGCAATGATAATCCTTTAGATAGTGAGGAGGGTGGGAAGCTCTATAGGATTGTCTTAAGGGAAGGGAGTTATGATCTGCAGAGGTATTTTCTGTTGAGTTATGAATGGTGAGAATATGGTCATTGGTTTTTTCTGCAGCAGAGAGATGAGGAGAGTTTGGAGAAATTTGGGACTGATTTATATCAAAAGAAAGAATGGATGTGGACCGATCTTTAGAGTTGTCAAGCACATTGTTATTTTGTTCAGGCAGAGAAATATGAGTTGGATGTGAGGTAGAAGGATTGTCCAGGTCAGGTATAAGGACATCTTGAGAGATAAAAGAGTCATTGTGTATAGGCACATCCGCTGAAATGGGACTGGGAACATCAACTAGATTAGGACTGGGACTGGCAGGCTAATGATATGTACCATCACGACTACTATGTGTAGAGGTGGAGTTGTCAAGTGAAAAGGACAAGTTAGTGGTACTAGGAGGCTGGCTATTAGGCTGACTAAGAAAGATATTATGAGGTGCATTGGGAGGATCATCAAGATGTGGGACATATTGTGTAGGTGAAACAGAAGGGTGATTTTGATGTTTAAAGGGAAATATATTCTCATAGAAAATCACATTCCTTGATATAAAAATGTTGTGAGTTTCAAGATCATACAGAATATACCCTTTGGTACCTTCCTTATATCCAAGAAAAATAGATTTCTTAGCTCTTGGATTGAACTTGGTTTTATATGCTTGAAGAGAGCTAGCATAGAAAAGGCAGCCAAACACTTTTAGGTGAATTAAGGATGGACATTGCTTAAGCAACAGTTCATATGGACTTTTAGAGTTAAGGAGGGGTGTAGGTAATCTATTGATAATATGAACAGCATGTGAAATGCAAAAATTCCAAAGATTTAGAGGAAGGCTAAAGTGAAAAAAATGGATCTAGCTACATTGAGGATGTGTTGATGTTTCCTTTCAACCACCCCATTTTGTTGGGGAGTCTCAACATAAGTTCTTTGGTGAAGAATACCCTTGGATAATAAGTAGTCAGATAGAGCAAGAAATTATGTACCATTATCTGATCTTAAACATTTAAGGGTAGTTTGGAATTGGTTTTCTATGTAAGCTATGAAATTGATAAGGCTTGGTTTAGTTTGGTCTTTGGTTTTAAGGAAAATAACCCAAGTTTGTCTTGAATAATCATCAACAAGGGTTAAAAAATACTTGTGTCCTAAATTGGAGATTGTGGAGAAAGGACCCCATAGGTCAGCATGCAAAATATTAAAAGGAACATTAGAATGAGATACACTATTTGGAAAAGGAAGTTTTCTTTATTTAGCAAAGTGACAAGAGTCACATGGTACATTATCTTTATTACAAGAAATGAAAGGAAAAGACTTTGAGATGGTGTGTAAACCAATATCAGATAGGTGGCCTAGCCTTAAGTGCCACAAATTACAAGATGTATGAGAAACAGAATTATGAACAAAAGAATTATTAGCATGAGAAAGTGAAGGTGTGGTGTCAAGAACATAAAGTCCCCTATGTAAGCTAGCTATACCAATCATTGCCTTGGTATGATTCTGCATAATATGGCATGTGTTAGCACAAAATTGAACAAAACATAGATTACTAGCAACAAGTTTAGCTACAGATATAAGGTTGTCATTAAAGCTAGGAACATAAAGCACATTATGAAGAGTGAGATAGGGTGATATAGCTACTGTTCCAGAAATGGAAGTCATGACTTGTGAACCATCAGGTAGGCTAACATGGACAGGGACTATCTTCTTATGCATAATAAAGGAAGAGAAATGGTCAGTAGCTCCAGTACAAGGATCCAAAGGTGATGGTACTTACCATTCACATTGGTTGAGTGAGAATGCATGACAAAAGGTGATGTTGAGACAGAATTGACAACAGGTTGAGGCTTGGATTGCTGAATCAATGCAAGGATGTTGTCGTACTTCTCCTTAGTAAAACCAAATGAAGATGGTGCTGAACCCTGAGAAGAGGATGTTGATGCATTACTAGCATTTGCAGCTGATGAAGATGATGCAGACCCTTGAGCCTTGGATTTATTTCTGTAACCTGGTGGGTATCCGTGCTTGCTGAAACAAGTTTCAATGGTATGGTTCGTCCGGCCATAGTGAGTACAAACTCTGTTAGAACCTTTTGCAGGAGCTGAACCTTGAATCTTAGCATGATAGGTGTTGGAACCTTGTCTACCAGAATGGTTCCCTTCCTGAGCTTGAACTTGTAATGCAGAGGCTTCTTCAGTGGAACCTGTAGGGGAAACAACACTTGATGCAGAGCTATCCATTTCTCGTTCTTGTTGAATCATATACGAGAAGGCCTTGTCAATATCAGGCAACAGATTTATCATCATAATCTGAGATTTTGAATGAGCAAATTTCTCAGATAACCCTTTGAGAAAACGAATTACGTAATCTTGTTCCCTATACCGTTTAACAGACGCTATGGCACCGCAACAATAGGGAATTGCGCAAGAACAAAATGGAAATGGTCGATAGTTCTCCAATTTGTCCCACATAACCTTCAATTGTGTAAAATAGTTAGAGACGTCGAGAGTACCTTGACGGAATTTGTACAAGTCTTCTTGAATGTCATATATGCGAAAGATGTCTCCTTGAGAAAACCTAATTTGCAAATTCTTCCATACGCTAAATGATGTATCAATCCACAGAACAGACTTTGCTATTGGTTCTGAAATCGATTGTTGAATCCATGCAAGAACCATGGTATTACAACGGATCCATGATGCATACATCGGATCCAAAACAGGTGGCTTGGTTAGGGTTCCATAAATGAACTTCTCCTTGTTCTTGGAGATAAGAGAAATGTGCATCGATCAAGCCCAGGTATGGTAATTTTTATCAGTGAGCAAAGGCGTAACAAGAACAAGAGTTGGATTCTCGTTCGGATGGAGATAATAGGGATTTGCAGAATTAGTTGCGAAATCGGCGTAGCTCTGGTTCGCCATTGAATAACAGAAAAAGATGAAAGCGATCAAGAAAAAGATGAACGATAAAAAACAGAAAGAACTCACAAAGGAGATGAACAAAGATCGCAGAAGAAAGAACAATGGCTACCAGAGCTTTAGAAGCTCTGATACCATGTCGATAATGGAGACGAGTTTGAATATACACTGCGATGATGACATAACAGAAAGAAGAAGAAGTGATAACAGAAAGAAGAAGAAGTAATGAAAGGGCAAAAGTTTGTTATCATTCATCTAACTAACTCAATACAATAATGATATCAGTATATATACAAGTATTTGTGTGAACCAATAATGGTATGTCAGCTGTACACTAAATTTATCTAGTTACATTAGGATAAGAAACTAAAGGTATAATATTGATAGATATATTATATTAGAAACAAAATATATATTTTTAGAATTAAAAACAGAATATATATTAGAAAAATATGTAATAGAATATATATTAGAAACAAAATATGTAATGTTGTATTTAAATATGTATTTAAAATTAAAAACAGAATATATATTATATAAGAAAAAGTAGAATTTTTAAAAATATTTTTAGTAAACAAAATTGTAAATAGAAAATATTAAAATTTATTTTTTTAAAAACATAATGAATATGTATTATATTTAAAATGTGTTATTTTTAAATGTGTTATTTTTAGAAAAAGTATTTTTATTAAAAAATAATGAATATGTATTATATTTTAAATGTTCTATTTTTAGTAAATAAATTATATATTATATTATAGAATATTATATTATAGAATACGGGTTATATTTTAGTAAACATAATATATATTATTTTAGAAAAAACAGATTTTTTTAAAATAATAAATATATATTATATTTTAAATGTGTTATTTTTGTAAACAAATTATATATTATATTTTAGAATATGTATCATATTTTAGTAAACATAATTTATATTATTTTAGAAAAAATAGATTTTTAAAAATAATAAATATATATTATATTTTAAATGTGTTATTTTTAATAAACAAATTATATATTATATTTTAGAATATTATATTTTAGAATATGTAGTATATTTTAGTAAACATAATTTATATTATTTTAGAAAAAATAGATTTAAATTTGTGTCGAAATAGATTTAAAATAGATTATAGTAAACATATTTTATTAGGTTGGTGTCGAAATAGAAAAAATAGATTTAAATTTGTTAAATTAATGTGAAAAGAATTATATTATTTTGCATATTAAAATCACATATTTTATTAAAATGATATATAATGATAGTACAAATGTGCAGTATGGAATATTTTCGTTACTATCGTAGTTGGATGTACGATAGAACGTTACCAGGCAGACGTGGACTTACACCAAATTTTGAGGAAGGAGTTAAGGGGTTTATCACGTGGGCATTTGCACAAGAATGTTGTCGACGTGAAGGAGGAGTAAGATGTCCTTGTCTTAAATGTGAATGTAGACCTATAATTAGTGACCCAGAGGAAGTAGAACGTCATTTGAAGATGAAGGGTTTCATTGAAAATTATTGGGTTTGGACATATAATGGAGAACAACTTCCGAGTAACGTACATGCAAAGACAACTAATACACACGCATCAAGCAGTCGATGACATATGGAATTTGAGGAATATTTTAATCTGATCAATGATATGGTTGGCAATGCATTTGAAGTAAATGTGACATATGATGAACCTTAGGATTTTGATGGGGAAGAGTTGTTGAATGAGGAAGCACAAAGATTTTACCAATTTTTGAAAGAAATTAATACATCGTTGTTTGAGGGGTCGACAGATTCAAAATTATCAATGTGTGTAAGATTATTGGCCGCAAAGTCAAATTGGAATGTTCCTGATCAGTGTTTGGAATACTTTGCAAAAATGATGTTGGATGCGACTCCTACGAAAGATAACTTGCCTACAAGTTATTATGATGCAAAGAGGTTGGTGTCGAAGTTGGATTTAGAAGTACGAAAGATTGATTGTTGCATAAATGGATGTATGTTGTTTTATGACAATGAGTTTGGTATTAATGATGAGGCGCTGGAGGAATGTAAGTTCTGTAAGAGTTTGAGATATCAAGTTCGTAGTAAAGCCATTAACCGTAAATAAAAACATGTTGCAGTGAAGTCCATGTTCTATTTTCCGATAATACCAAGGTTTAAAAGATTGTTTGCTTTAATGCACAGTGCAAGTCAAATGACATGGCATCATACAAACAAAATAAGTTCAGGCATTATGCGGCATCCATATGATGGTGAGGCATGGAAACATTTTGATAGGGTATATTCTGATTTTGCTGCAGAACCTAGAAATGTCAGGCTCAGACTATGTTCTGATGGTTTTACTCCATACGTCCAAGCATCCGCAATTGCATAATCCTGTTGGTCAGTTATCGTAACCCCTTACAACCTCCCTCCAGAGATGTGCATGACAAATACATGTTTTTGACTTGCCTCATTCCAGGACTGTGAAGTCCTAAAGCCGGAATCAACGTTTATTTAAAACCTTTGATAGATGATTTGAAGAGGTTGTGGACTGGAGAATGGACATATGATATATCTCGCAAACAAAACTTTACTTTGTGAGATTCCTTGATGTGGACTATTAATGACTTTCCCGCTTATGGAATGTTATCTGGTTGGGGTACGCATGGCAAAATGGGATGTCCACATTGCATGGAATTTACAAAGGCTTTTACTTTAGAATTTGGAGGGAAAAGTTCGTGGTTTGACTGTCAATGCAGATTCCTACCAAGATACCATGTCTTTAGAAGAAACAAGGCTGATTTCAAAAAAGATGTATGAGTAACAGATTTGCCTCCTCCGTGATTGTCACCAGAGGAAATATGGAATCGAGTTTCTGAACTGCCAAAATTTACAGATTATGGTGAGGCATGCAAAATTCAAGGATATGGGGTCAAACACAATTGGACAAAAAGAAGTATATTTTGGGACCTCCCATATTGGAAAGATAATTTATTGCGACATAATCTTGATGTTATGTATATTGAAAAGAATTTGATAATATATTTAACATAGTTATGGATGTTCAAGGCAAAACAAAAGATAATGAGAAGGCTAGAAGGGACATGGAAATTTTGTGTGATAGAAAAGAGTTGGAGTTAAAACCTCGGTCTAATGGAAAATTATTAAAACCTAAGGCTTGTTACAGTCTAACTTCCGAAGATGCTAAAGCGGTTTGTCGATGGTTCAATGAATTGAGAATGTCAGATGGTTATGCTTCAAATTTAGCAAGGTGTGGTGACACAAAAACTGGGAAGTTGCATGGAATGAAAAGTCATGATTTTCATGTTTCTATGGAACGATTGCTTCCAATTGCATGGAGTTTACTACCCAACCATGTGTTGTATCCGCTAATTGAAATAAGTCAATTTTTCGAAGATATTTGTGGTCAACTTTAAGAGTCGATATCATCATTAAGTGGGACCAAAATATTCCAGTTATTCTATGCAAGTTGGAACTAGTTTTTCCACCTGGTTTTTTCGACTCTATGGAGCATCTACTTGTGCATCTTGCATATGAAGCCTATCTTGGTGGCCCCGTTCAATACAGGTGGATGTATCCCTTTGAAATATTCATGGGTGATTCAAAACGGTCAGTGAAGAATAAAGCTAAAGTTGAAGGATCAATATGTACACATTACTTGCATCGGGAAACATCACATTTTTGCAGTCATTATTTCAATCATTTGATGTTAACTCCAAGAATCATAAGGAATGAATTTGATATTAACAAAAGAAGTCAGTTTACCTTGTCAATCTTCGGTCTTCCCGGTCGCCCCTCTGGAAAGGAGAATGTTCATGGGCTGACCCAAAAAGAATTGCAATCTGCACATGTTCATGTTCTAATTTTCTTCCTCAACATTATTCCTTCACACAGCAGCCTGGGGGATCTAGTTTTTCTTTAGCAGACTCCCTTCGCACAGTGTTGCGGTGGAAATAGGATATCAAACTATTAATTAGTTTGAATCACAATTCTTAATTCACAACCGCTCTTTAATTTATCCGAAGGAAAAGGTCAAAAGAGGGAAAACCTATTTTTGCATCATAAACAAAATGCGGGGAGAGACCTAGGTAAGGGGTTGGTTAAGCTTAGGGAAGGTACTAGCACCCTAAACTTCTGTAGTACTCTACAGGAACCTTTTGTTTATTGTATGCTTTATTATTTTATTATCTGCTTTAATATATATTGAGCTAAGGGATAGAGTGACCTAAAGACCTAAGGGTTAGTCCTAAGTTTACTCGGCAAGACGTCGCATCTTGTGCCTATGTATCCTGGATAGGGAATGGAATCAGAGTAATCGTAGTTCCCCTCAAAAGGGAGGTTAGAAACTTCTTGACTCTGGTCAAGGTTTCAATGGGGAATAAACATATCTTGAGGACATGCTTACGTGGAGCCTTAAACTCCTATTTCTACGTTGAAATTGTTAATTAAATTAGGGTTAAATTAGGGATTCCACGGTGGGAAACCCTAAACAGAGCACGACGGCTCTTTGACCTAAAAGCTAGGGTAAAGGGCGTTTTCGTCCACGGCGGGACACCTAGGCTATTAGGGTTTTAAATTGGTTGAAACTAGGGTTATTGACTCGGCGGTCAAACTGTTAATCCTAATTCCTTCGGAGGGGAAAATAACGGTAAAACATGCAAACATGGCAAAATATTATATGGCAGAATTAAAATACGGAAAAGTAAAGGAAATGGTAAAGAACGCATCGCGGCCGTTCGCGTAAATTACAAATCCCCAAAACAAATGCGAAAATAAAAAAGACTGCGATCATGGCCTCGCATAAATTACAACCATGAAAAAATGCAAAAATAAATGATGAAATATAATGCGATGATAGACTCGCATAAATTACAACCATAAAATGAAACGAAAAAAACTGTTACAAATTGTACAAGTGGGAAATAATGAATGGAACGAGATTAACAGTAAAATGAGAATGAACGGGCAAGGTCAATTCGAAACTGAAAAGCGAAATGTTAGGCAATTTTTTAGAAAAGGTTTTAAGACTAATTGCGACATTAAAATATTAATCCTTATTTTAGAAGTTTCAGGGTTAATTTACAAAAACGAGTTTAATTTACAAAAGGAGCTTAGTTTTTAAGTTACGTTATTTATTATGTTAAGTTAATTTACACTTTGTTAGCCTTAAATTTTAAATTATAATAAAAAATTAATCTTTTAATTACATAAATTTAATTCCCAATTAAGGTTAAATTTTAAGTTTGGAAATTGAGTTTTTAAGAGGTTTTAAATTACTAAGTAAAAAAGGGTGTTAACGTTAAAAAATTTTAAATCTCAATTTTAAATTTGCAAAAATAAGGGTTAAGTTTAAGTTTTAAAATAAGTTTAAGTTGAAGTTTTAGAAAATGTTTTTTAGACAAAATTTTAATTTATTTTTGTTTAATTTACAAGTTGGTTTTAATTTTAGGTAAAAAAGTGATGATGAATTAAGCCTCTAAAATAATAGTTTTCCTTAAGTTTTTTTGTTTTACATTAAATCTTAACATTGAATTATTAAAAATATCTTAGATAAGTTTTAGAAAGGTTTTCTTTAAAAAAAAAATTAAGTTTTAAAAATGGATTTAATTTGAAGTTATAAAAAATGTTCTAAAATGATTTTTATCAAGTTTAAAAAATATTTTAAAAGTTTTAAATTAGTTTTTTATTTAATTAAGTTATTTATTATTGAAAGAAAAAACAAATATTAATGAAATGAGGAGATTGGCACCTGATGTAGTCACCTTCATCATTACGTGGGCTCAGTTCCTGGTCCTTGATGCGGTACCGCCGGTGTTACCACAATGTTAATAATAACATAGTAGCAAACTTTTGAATGGTGTAATAATAACAACCATACTATATCAAAATAAATTAAACCAGGGAGCTTAATATGTAAAAGGCAAACAACATAGTAATAATTGAAATAAGTACAACTGCATCGTAATCGAACCAAAGTCAAGACAGAACTTACCGTACCCCGTAGCTGAATCAAAACCAGCAAAGAAATGTTTACACAGCCATCCGAAATGCGACAGAAAGTTTACCTCGGAGTTATTACCATTGTCGAATTAAATCCTGGATATTCAAAGCCGCGGTATGATGCCCTTAGGATTCCCCCTCACTTATGTTTATATAGGTAACAAATTAGGGTTAACTCTAACCTGGATTCGAACTCTCAACCTCTCACACTCACAACTCCTTACACAGGGTCTCTTGCCAATTATGCTATTTTATTCATTCAAAATAAAGTGGCACTAGAAATCCTATAAACTAAAAGAGCGCGCCACATGATATTTTCTTGCAACAATCAAACAATTGCACCACCCGTTAGTGGTTAGTTTAAACGCAATGCAAAATGAAATGGGATGCAAGATGAAACAACTAATCTTAGGGAAAAATTTGGGGTATTATAGTTGCCCCTATTTAAATAGCTTCACTGGATGATTTGAGCGACGAAGGCTCGAGAAATCATGGGGGAAGGATTTAAATATAGATAACCGAAAATTTTGCCCTTAGATGCAGTGATATGCAATGCTATGGACAAAACGGAAATAAACTATAATGCTGACAATGTCATGAATTTAG